AATCTAACTGTACCCCACAAAACCATAATAAAAAATACTGATTGATAAAAAAAAAAAAAAAAAAAAAAAGAATCTTCAGCCGGGCTTGGTGGCTCAACCTGTAATCCCGCGCCTTTGGGAGGCTGAGGTGAGTGGATTGCCTGAGCCCGCGGGTTCGAGACCCGCCTGGGCAACTTGGTGAGATCTCATCTCTACAATAAATCAAAAAATCAGCCGGGCGTGGTAGCGCATGCCTGTAATTCTGGCTACTGGGAAGGCTGAGGCAGAAGGATCACCGGAGCCCAGCAGGTCGAGGCTGCGGTGGCCGGGAGTAGCCACTGCACTCCAGTCTGGGTGACAGAGTGAGACTCCAACTCAAAAAAAAGAAAAAAAAGAAATGAATCTTCATGGATGACATTATTAGCTTGCTAGCCAGGATAACAGGCATTAGAAATGGACTCACATGAGTGAAATCAGTGATATTCAAGATATGTGCATTGTTTACAATATGTGAGACTCTCCTTATCCTTGCATGAACAGGTATAAAAACCTAGCAAGCCGGGCTCGGTGGCTCAGCCTGTAATCCCGCGCCTTTGGGAGGCTGAGGTGAGTGGATTGCCTGAGCCCGTGGGTTCGAGACCCGCCTGGGCAGCGAGACCTCATCTCTACAATAAATCAAAAAATCAGCTGGGCGTGGTAGTGCATGCCTGTAATTCCAGCTCCTTGGAAGGCTGAGGCGGAAGGATCGCCGGAGCCCAGCAGGTCAAGGCTGCGGTGGCCGGGAGCGGCCACTGCACTCCAGTCTGTGCGACAGAGTGAGACTCCAACTCAAAAACAAAAAAACAAAAAAAAACCTAGCAAGTCTGAAGCCTGTTTCCTTTGGGATAATTCTCTAGGCTGAATCTTTAAGTGGTCCTGTGTCCAGTTATGAACTCTGAGGGCTCTGGCTCCCTGATACTGGCTATAAGCCCAACAGAATCCTGCCTCTGTAATGGTAGCGGGTCTGCCTTAATGCCTTGCATTTCATCAAAATGGTGGTCAGAGAACCTAAAAGGCCAAAGAACTGGGCCCTCATTGAGGTCACTGTTCACATGAATTCTTTTGTGTCTACTTGCTCAGGACATTAATAAACGCCTGACTAAATGGACCCATATTCAGATGATACCCACAGCCCTTAGGGACCCGAGAGGAGCTGTTGTCCTTGTGACCTTTACCCTTCTGGCAGGCCCAGTTCTTTTTTTTGTGAGTTGGAGTCTCACTCTTGTTGCCCAAACTGGAGAGCAGCGGCATGCTCATGGCCACCGCAGCACCTGCTGGATTTAGGTGATCCTTCTGCTTCAGCCTTCCAAGTAGCTGTAACTACAGACGTACGCCATCACGTCCAGCTAGTTTTTGTGATTTATTGTAGATACATAGTCTCACCAAGTTGCCCAGGCTGGTCTTGAATCTGTGGGCTCAGGCAATCCTCTCACCTGGGTCTCCCAAAGTGCTGGGATTACAGGCTGAGCCACCGCCTGGCCAGGCACAGTTCCTTTTTTTTTTTTTTTCAGTTGGATTCTCACTCTGTCGCCCAGACTGGAGTGCAGTGGCCGCTTCCGGCCACCACAGCCTCGAACTGCTGGGCTCCAGCGATCCTTCTGCCTCAGCCTTCCAAGTAGCTGGAACTACAGGCGCGCGCTACCCCGCCT